TCAACAATGTTAATAATCGTGTCCATCGGCTGCTCGTACGAATGGACGAACTCTCTCACTGTTAGAAAAAGTGAGCCCAACATTCCGAAAATAATAATAAGGAACAGTTATGTGCATTCTCGGACAAGTATTTTGATAAGAATCAACTGACAAGTACTACCTCTAGTTCTCCACTTCACAAACGGCAAAATTATGAAGCAACACACATGCGCGAGAACTCACGTAATCATGATACACATAATAGTTCACAAATGTGTCGAATCAGATGGCTCGGCTCACTTAGTTTTTTCCGTCTAATTTCCGGCTTCTCTTCGCCTTGATACAACTCGCTCTCCACCGGTATATACGGCTGAGCAATGAACCAACTCAAACACGACGCAATCGTCATTGAGTATTGCGACACAGCGTCCAACAGGGCATATATGTCATCTGTTTGCTCACCTTGTTCAACAACGAATCCAATTTTCTATACGTTAAGTTCTTCTGACTATCGCCCTTCATACTCTGCATGGGAGCGCTATGTTTCAGTAGTAGGGCGCACAACTGCTTCTCACCAGCACCCAAACACTCTAAGAACGCCTGACCACAGACACATGCCATAATATCGTGGAGATCGCAAGAGCACTCACTTGCTCATATATGTCTTGGAGGAGATCCTTAGGAAGTTGTACGGTAGCGAGAGTTTGAATCACCTTGTCCCATCTGAGAGAATTCGAGTAGAATCTAGCTCGGGAAAGTGTGGGAAAATTTGTACTCGGTCACCCACATGCGTTGGTGACAATATGAGGACTCCGAGAAAATTTAAAAAAATTCTGCTGGTTTCTGCACACTTCTAACCCAATCCGTATATAACTCCTATAACTAGTGAGAAAACTCCTGAGCTCAGCAGAGGGAAGAGAACATATATTCCAACACTGTCCGAGGCGTGCGTCATGAAATATCTCAACAAAGTGTGTTCCATATGTGTGGGGTGGAAACACGACTAATACCTCGATAATTTATCGGTCAAAACTGCTATGGGTTGCAGTGTTTGGCCGAAATTTGATCAAGGGTCGAAATTTGTTCGCCAAAAGATATCAGTAGCATATTTGGTTAAAAGACTCCCCCCCGAGGATCAAATCCAGGCATTACCGTCCATGGTCAATATCGTCACAGAAACCATCGACTGACTCCACTGCATTCAAGTAAATCTGGGACTCTTCTTGAAGTGTCTGACATGCGATCAGCGAGCTGTACCCGTGAATACTCCATGTGAAAAAGCCAGCTTTCGCACTATGCAGTAGTCGTGAAATATATTTTTAATATCCGGATGAAACTCCAATAATACGCAGCGATCCGATTATTCCATCAATTACTATTAATATATTTATGAAATTACTAGCGGCTGTTACAGAGGCATTCAGCGGCCAAATTCCGGCCGTATCACCTGCATGGAACGGTTGAGGTTATTTTCCTTGAGGAACTGTATAATAAGCCGTACAACATCCCCAGAATCCACAGCAACCTCTTGCGTCGCATCTGCCATCGGGGCATCGACCGGATCTCCGTTTGACATCACCAAAGATCCACAATGAACTGGATGGGAACAAGCAGAGACCTACTCCTCGCGTTTGCCAGATGCTATTCGACGTGCAGCATACCCCAGAATTCCCTTAAACACTAGGTAGTCAACACGGATCATCGTATCAATGAGGTTTCACGGGTGATATGGAAAAAGCACCGGTAAAAAATATATTTCGCGACTACTGCATATCACCGCGAATACCGCATTTCTCATAGAAAATTACGCCACTTCACGTAAAATGGGTGAAGCTCCAATGTTACTTGACCCTCAATTTTATCATCACTACTGAGACTCTACTGACTACCACCATCAAATGAAGCCGAAATGATACAAAATAGACCGAGAAGTTCGAGCAGTACGAGAAACACTAGTAAAATAGCCTCGACAGAGTTAAAGCGTATCTGAGGCATTGAACACAATAACTATATCCTGAATTGCGAGAATGTTCAAATTTATCGAGTGATATTTGGAATTTCGACTACATTGTATGCCCATTTTCGCCCGAACTCGTAGTTTGATGGTTAAGACCGCGGCTCAACTAGAGAGAGGACTCCCGTCTCTATACAGGACTGGACTGTATAGCAATCGGAGAGGAGATACTGCATCTCTAACTGCTATACCGTCCTAACGGTTGAACTTACAGCCATGTGAATTCACCTTGGCTTACCACTCCACTATGAGACTCACAGTGAAGAGCACACATTGCTGTATTAACAATACTGTATTGTCAGTATATCACGGACCTTCTGATTAGTTCTTTGGGATCAAAAATGCGCAGCGAGTACCGAAACGGACTTGAAACAGGGTGAAGACTATCTCACCGAAACCGGCTTCCATCACATCAGTCGTTGACAGGCTCAAAAGGGGTGCCACTGGCATTGCCAGTCTGGCAAGCGTCTCAGCAGATCAAGGAGCCAGAAGTTAATCCACCGAGCCAATCAGTGCATCCCATAGGTCTCCATAGAGGATCCCGTTAGCACAAGAAACCCAACATCGATTATAGGAGATAATCAGTCCCTCGCTGAGGCCCTCATTTAATCATCAACTACATAAAGAATTATAATATTTGTAAAGGGCTAATAGCTACCACTACTCATAAATTGTACAGTACATAGGAAAAGGCTCCATCTACTGAATTGCAAGCTCAGCATTGCTAATGATACCTAGACACACAGATGATAGCGGAATACTCGAATCACTTACTAGTTTATAGCAAACGCCGTTGCTACCAAATAGTCTACCGCAGCCTCACTACTGAGCCCCCCTCTCTCCTCCACCAGCCCCCGGGCCGCGCTGATCTAAGATACCAGCCATATGATGAGAGACAGTTATAAAATGAGCCATAGTAAGACCCGCAAATCACAACTAGGGAAAAGTCAGACTGAAGAGTTCCAGAGATGTGGTGACAAAGCCTACAACCAGTCGATAAGTTTCCAGGAAGGAATTATATGAAAAAAGAGCTCAACAACCTTGACCCAACTCTTACGATATGATTTTGCCACTGAGATGGGCATCCAGCCCTCTGTAGGATTTTGGGCCCCCAATTCTGCCCAGGGGCTACCAATACATCACACTTGATAACCAGCGATACGTAGAGCATGAACTGGCGACGACTGATCAACGAATGAACAACTTCGACACCGACACGCGTGATCCATTCCAACGAGTTTGTCACTTTGAGTCTCAAGAATACACCTACCTCATATCATCTGCGCTGGCTCTCGAGCTACTAGCTGTGCTGGCCCTGGAATTTGACATTTCAGCCCAAAAACAAGTCTGTTAGATAGTGCGAACAACTTCAACGAAATAACTTTCTTGTGGTGGTACAAAATCAAGCGACGATCATCGAATTATTGGAAGAGTCACAGTGAGAAGTGGCCAGTTTTCAGGCAATATGAAAACGACAACACGTAACACTATTATGAGCATATGATCACCACAGCAGGTAGGTTATCGAGTACGAGCTACTGACTGAATCAAGAATAAGCTAGAACTACGAGGCATGTATCACTGACGGTTATCTACTTATAATCGAGGTGGAATGATGAAAGAGGAGAGAAATAAATCAGGCTCGGAGTTGAGCATTAGAAGTCACCACACGGACACCTGGGTCTACTT